CAACCCGGAACTACGCAAAGCAGGACAGGAGCACATATATGGAGTGTTCAAAAGGAATGGATACCCGAAAAGCACAATCCACTGTTACCTCCGAGATAGACCACAACAGGAACACACAACACGACCAGACTCACCAAACACCCTACCATACATCAAGGACATTTCAGAGATGACCACAAGACTACTCAGACCCCTTGGTATCAGGGTAGTCCACAAACCAACAACCATCCTGCGACAGCTACTGACCAACGTAAAGGATCCCATACCCAAAACCAGCAAAACCGGTGTAATATACAAAATACCATGCAAGGACTGTGAGAAACATTACATAGACCAAACCGGGAGAAAACTGACAATACAGATACATGAACACCAAACAGCCACCAAGAGACACGACCAATTCTCACTTGTCTCACTACACATGGACAACAAGGGACACGAATTTGACTGGGACAACACATCCATGATCGCACAAGCTGAACAGAGACATGCCAGGGAATTCCTGGACACCTGGTATTCCAACTGAAACTACATCAACAAACACATTGTAACACATTGTAAACACATTGTGTACAAAGCACTGAGAAACAGAACTGGAAGTAATAGCAAACACCCCAACAAACTGAGGCATATAAATAACAAGAAGGACAGAACACCAACGCTTCACTGTAGGTGCACTGACGATGTTACCTAGCAGGTGACAAAACATTTGCATCCAAACCCACTGGCTCGGCGAGCATGTCTACAACCTCATCCACAAGCACAAATCTTCTCGGAAGCTTTAGAAGTTATTAGAGAGTGACAAGACAGTTGTCTTTATTTTCATTAGTTTTGAATCACCCACCCCTTTTAGGTTCAGCCTGATTTTCCAAATAGAAATTAGGCAGACAACTAACATTGGCCAAATCAACATCATGGTTTTAAAAAAGTAAATAACTGCAGATACTGGAAATCAGACACAAAAACAGAAATTGCTAGAAAGACATAGCAGGTCTGGCAGCATCTGTGGAGAGAAATCAGAGTTAATGTTTTGGGACCAGTGTCACTTGTTCACAACTTCGGAACCAATATCATTATTTTCCTACTTCTGCCAAATTAAAATTATTCCATTGAGTTTCTTAAACAACAGCAAGCCAAGATTGCAAAACTGAAATAACTGCATAGAGGCTAGGATCCCGTTGCCAAATCCCCCTTCATTTCCTTGTGCACTGTGGCCAGCCAGATCAGAGTCAGTCCCCCAAACTGAGGAGATTCTAAATCCCTGTTAATATTGGTCAGCCAGGGCTTCCTGATTGACCCAGATTTACAACCCCAATCAACGATCAAGTACTCAACAAGATCGACCTGGTTATAGTCACTACAAAAACCAAATTGTCATTACAGTTGTGGACTGACAGTGCATGTTTGGGTGCAGAACTGCCTTTTCAACATGACACTGATGCCAGGGATGCCAGTCAATTCTGGGATATCCCTACAATGGTGAATTACATAGAACATAGAGCAATATAGCATGATAACAGGCCCTTCGGCCCACCTTGTCTGTGCCAATCATGATGCTATTCTAAACCAATTGTTAAGAGAATGGAGCAAGTTAAATTGCAAATTGAATTGTTCAAGAAAGATGGCATGAATCTGGAAGGTAGTTAATAAACAAGTTTCCTAAGATGTGGTGACACAACCTGCTGGGCCTCTTCACGAAAATCCCTTTAAACACTTAATGCAACAGGAACTTGACCAAAAACAGTAAGATACAGTCTTTAGGCAAATGAAGCGAATGGACAACAAGGTGACATTCATTTGTAGCACAGAGGAGTTCATGTTGTCCATCAAGTCCATGTTGACATCCCATGAGATAGTCCAGCTAGTCCTACTCTTGTTGAGATGGAGATAATGTCAGTATGAGCCTACTGACTTCAATTATAATAGAAAAACAATACATTTTAAAAGGCTCGATTCTTATAAAGATTCATGTTCAGAAGGATTTAGGTCTACTCATACAAGGAACACGGTAAGTTAGCATGCAAACACAGCAAGCAATTAGGAAGATGAATTGCACGTCAGCCTTTTATTCTAAGAGGGTTGGAGTACAAAAATTAACTTGTACATTGGTAGAGGACTGGTGAGATCACACCTGCAGTACAATGTACAATTTTGATCTCCATATTTAAGGAGCTTTATATTTGCATTGAAGGTGATATTGTGTAGTTCACTAGTTTGGTACTTGAAATAAGAATGTTGCCCAACAAGAGACTGAGTAAATTGGAGTTTTAAAAGAATAAAAGAGAATCTCATTGAAACAGGCAAGATTCTGAAGAAAATTGACAGGGTAGACGCTGAGATGTTGTTTCCTCTATATGGGGAATCCAGAGTATGGGTTCGTAGATTTAGGATAAGAACAGGGATTAAGAGAAATTTCTTCAGAGTCGAGAGTCTGTGGAATGTTCTTGCCCATGGGTTGTAGATGCTTAATTATTGACTATTGTTTGAGGCTGAGGTAGACAAATATTTGGTCTCAGAGAACCAAGAAATATTGGGAGCAGGCATAAAAAAGTGAAGGCTGATGATTGTGTTGAATGGGGAAGCAGGTTTGAGGTGCTATAGTATCTAGTCTGGTTCCAATTTTATATGTTCTTATATTTTTATGGCATGTAGAATCTGTGTACCAGCAGATTAGTAGGGCTTGTGAGATTCCCTCCCTTGGGAGTTGCAGTGGGATCATGAACCTGATGCCCTCTCTCAGGATGACAGCATTTGTGTTTCCACCACACCAGCTCTGGTACTTTGCTTGCTGCTGTCTCTCAGCCAATCACGTAAGACTGCTCTTCACATGGTGGGATGGTGCAGTTTGAATTGTAGACCAAGAGCTGCTAGAGGACATCTTGGAAATCTGATTCTGCAGTTGAATCAAAGGCACCTGTGAAGTAACCACAAAGAGAATGTGTGAGGTTGAATCGTCGATCTTTATTTTTATAATGGAAGTATTAAATATGTTATGAGAAGGTCAATGCTGGTGAATTTATTTCAGGATCTTGGAAGAGGGGAAGCATTCATAGAGTTTCCTGTTTGGAATGATATGTTGGGAGACGTTGCAAGGAATGTCAAGTCTGAGCGTACTCACTCAGACAGTTGTAATATAGGGAGCTTTTTATTTCAAGCCACATTCATTTTGCTGCTCCCTTGTCAGGTTTTCTTTGGATGTCAAGCAGTGTTCTCATGATGGTACATTTGTACAGGATGCTGCTGACCAGCACAAATTTTGAGCTACGTGCAATCAGTTAATGTCTCCCTCTAACACTGGGGAATATTCTACCAAGCAAATCATGTGCCCACCTATTCCTGTTTCTCTTTATTTTACAGAGATGTATAGTGTGTGCAGACATAATTTCTATGTTACCCACTCCTGCCTGGGATAATCTGGTTTAATCTGACTGCCACTGTTATGGCTGTTGGCAGCTCCCCCTGATTTGAGGCAGCAGGCCACCTTGTAGGAGGCAGCTCAGTTGAGTGATCATCTCCTTGTCGAATCTGTGCGAGCTCAGGCATTGATCCTGCGTGAGATGGAGGATTGAGAAGCGCTCTCTGAAAACATGGTGGGCATGACCCTCTTCCCATCGGTCTTCACAGAACTACCTCTCCCTACTCCATTTCTTGGCCATGTTGCAGAGCTGAAAGTTTTGCGACTGCAGCCCACATACTCCTTGCACGCTCAGTACGTACAGGTAACCAAAACCCTGTTGTTTCTCTTGAATGCAAGTATCAAATTACCAAAATGCAGCACATTCACCACCTTCGTAATGCACTCACTTCACCAACAACGCTCCATTCCAGTAGTGTGAACCATTTGTAAAATGCAGTGCAGTCTGTGCTGTAGGTATCCAGAAGCATAATGCATGTCATTTACAGCCTTTGGGGTTTCCTTATGTTGGCATCAGCATACTTCACTGTTATAACCATCCTTATTTCCTACTGAACAGAAATTTGCAAACTGATTGCAATAATTATTGAATTTCGGCAATTTGTACAGTGGTCCTGTGCTAATTTTTAAACAGTTAACCAGTGTTGAAATGCCCAAACTCACTTACTCTTGATCCAGAATATAATTTTGTAGCAAAGAAACATTGAAAAAAAAATTCAGCTTAATCTGTGATGTTTGCTCTTGAAGTTCTTTATTGATTTATAAGAATGGAATTTGTTTTTCCTGTAGTCATTAATCATTCATTTGTAACATCATAAAAACATGATCATGACCGCTGTGAAATGAAACTTATTTTAGTCAGTCTTTACACCTAAATAATTCCAGCAGTGACATTTTTTCCCTGCAAAGCTTTATCTTCAATTCAATTTACCAAGTATAAAAGTAGCATTCTGCCAGTCAGTAAAGTTGCCATTGGGCAAAACCTATGTGAATGTAACCATGTGAGACGTAAATTGTAACTTTGGATTTCGATGCACTTTCTTATATTGTCTTTTTAATTCTCAGAATGGAAATTGCAACACTGAATCACTTTAAATCATAACACAAGCATATTCAAAGTTTACCGTAACTCTCTTAAGATTCATGTTATAAAATAAAGCTGAAAACTGTTTAATTCAGCTTTTTGCTTACAGCTTTTGTTAGTGAACAAAATGATGTTCTTCAAATTGTGATTGTTTCCATTTGATCTTCCAAGGTCATGTTAATTTGTGTGGGGACTGCATCCAGTGTTTCTCTGCTGATAACAGAGCAACACAGGCAGATTGGTGCTGTCAAAATAGGGGTGTGTCAGCTTAGTAAAGCAGTGATACAACACATGCTGCTTCAAACTATTTTTAACTAGCTGTTCTTTGCTGTGATATTGAGCCAGTGTCGGTTGGGCCCTTTTCCTGAATGCATGTTCAGTAGTGAGCCCTGCAGTTTTATTTTATTTAGTCAGTTACTTAACAGCCTAACTTTCAATTCACTTAAAACTTCAGTCCGCAGGGTTGATCCAACTGCTGTATGAATTGGGAAGTACGATACCATGAGCAGTGAAAGTGATTCTGGAAGTCGACCTACAGCAACAACAATTAGCACCGTAGCTGTCCAGACAGGAGACTCGAGAATTGTTGTAGCAGTACTGAAGGCAAGTTTCCTTTATCTGAAATGAAATATGCTATCATTTTACTAATTTGGAATGACATGAACTTAGTTTTGATAAGTTTGGCCTGTGCTTTGCTTACCAGCTTCATACCAGTGTAAAATTCTGCATGCCTTTGGAAGAGAACTTTTTTTAAGATTCTAAACCTGAAATCTTATGAAAGTATTAATTTTATTTTTTATGTTACTTCTACGTATAACATACCACTAAAATATTTCGGTTATATGTTGTGGTAATTCTGATCACCTGTACATCATTTCTTGTATTTCAGGCTGGGACATGTGTTGAGCTCCAATTGGTTGAATCAGTACCAAATCTGCTTGAAATTGGCAGCAATGCGGAAGAAACCAGGAAAATACTGACTGAACATGAGATACTTCTTGCTAAACTGAAGGTAACTGAAGGACATTAGTACCCAGCTTTTCTTTAATTAGGAGCAATTACATGTACTACCAAGGCTGACCTAACTATATATTTTATCAAACTATCTGCGTAGACTGATATTTCTGAAGTCACAAACCGAAGACACAGAACATTATAGCCTCTGATGGGCATTGCAAAAATGAGAAAAAATTTAAAACTTTGGAAAGAGAGCACAAATGTTGTAGAGGGCTGGATTTGAGATTTCTGGTGATAGATATTTTGGTGGGGGGAACGCAGAGACGATAGGGGTAACCGGTAGACTGTGATTACCACAGTTCCCTGGGGATCATAATGCTGGAGTTTGGAATGTTGTCAGTTCGCATGGAGAAACCAGGTATTTGCATTATATGTACAATGTCCCTTCTGTTGGGTTCTTTGCTAAGGCGTAATAGGCTTTGGAACGGGCAGGAAGGATTCCAACTATCTTAAGTTGATGCTGGATTTCCCAAATGAAATTGGGACTTCAAACATTTGGACCTTGGTCTTTTTCAGAGCCCTATTGGGAGATTCTTAGTTGACTTACAATAATAGTGAGGAAATTTGACCTCTGGGGACAATGCATAGAGCCATTGGACTTATTTGGGATTTCTAACCACTGAATCCAAGTCTAATTAGTGAATAAGTGAATGTTCTTTGAAACCATGTGATTTCTTCATTGAGTAGTGCATAGTGGTTGTTGTTATTCATTTCATGTTTTTTTCCTTCATGTGATACGTAAGCCAGCGCTTATTAACTTGACTTAATTGCACTTGAAAGTAATTCACAACCGCCTTTTCTAAATTGGTGTAGTTAAGTGATGAAGATACACCCACAATACAGCCTATTGAGGGAGCAATTCTAAAATTCTGATCCAAAGATGACAGAATAACTTATATGTGCATCTCACGCCTAACAAAAAATATGAACAAAGATGTTTCATAGGAGATTATGAAATAAAATATCAGACAAGTTGCATTGGAGATATTGGGACCTATGAGCTAATCCGCCAGAGAAGTTAGAGTTAAGGCATGTCTGAAAAGAAAAAAAAAGACAAAGTAGAGAGGTGGCGAGGTCTAGGGTCACATTCCAAAGCTTAGTGCTTTGGCAGCTTCACAAATGGTCCCTCAGGTGGAACATTTAAAATTGAGAATGCGCAAGAGGTCAGAATTGGGAAGGCTCAGATATCTCAGATGTTTGTAGGGCTGTAGGAGATTATAATGTTGGGGAGCAATGAAACACGGAGCAAGTTGAAAACAATAAGGTGACAGCTTCAAAAGGGCCTCACAACCCAACTGTTCTGCAAAGTAAGTGTCTTGCATACATTCAAAAAGGCTGGTCACAATCTGTTAACTGAACTTTTTGTTTCTGATAAAGTGTTCCAGTTTATTTTTATAGAAAAAAACTTCAAGAACAAACTGTCTTTATTTCGTCAGAAATGATATATTGGGAGACTCAAGGAGGGAGATGAGCTTCCTCTATTATTGTTGAATATGTAATTGAGTGGTTGAAGTAAGAAATCATAAATATATTGAAGTGAAACTAAACAAGCCTATGAAGAAAATGCAGTAGTAGTTTATGATAGATTTAAATGAGCAAAAATTGGAGGAGACATGAGTGGAGCATAAATATTATCATGGGCTGGTTTAACCAAACATCCCAATTCTATGCCATATAAGGTAATTAACTGATGGATATGTAATTTTAGGATCAGCATTTTCCTTGATTGGGTGTCGTTGTTGGTCCGTGAACACAGGGACAGAATGTGAGTGGAACTTGGTGCAAGTAGGAACACATGCAGTTGAATGCCCCTAGTTTGCAGACAGTAGACTTGACAGACTTGACAAGAGTCAATTTGAAATGTTGTTTCCCCTTGTGTGAGAGTCCAAGACCAGACCGTACAATCACAGATTAAGGGGTCACTCATTTAAGATAGAGATGAGAAGGAATTACTTCTTTCAGAGAGTTGTGAATTGTGGGAATACTTTGCCACAGAGGGCTGTCAAGGCTGGGTCTTTAAGTGTTTTCAAGACTGCGACATATCATCCATGTGCATTGTCACAACAGACCTAATTGGGTGGAGGTGGGATGCCATGATCTCTTTCCACTTCCTGACTAAATGCACCTTTGCCTCCAAATTTGCTGGTGACTTGAGTCGTTAGATTCTGTCATATGCTGTGAGGATAGAGCATTGGAGGGCGTGGATTGAGATATTATAATGCAGTGAGGATGCAGAAAATGTACAGAATCAGTTGCAGGATTGGAGTGAATCCTAATCAGGAAGTTGAAGGGCAGTTGAATGATTTGCTGGCCAGAAAGAGACTGAAGCTAAACTACAAGATGGCTAATTATGCGCTCAACAGGAGACCAAAGTACGTCCAAGTCAGGTTGGAGCATGACTTTTAGAGGAACTTGCAGGTGGTGTTGTTGCAAAGCACCTGCTTTTCAGTGATAGAGTTCGAGAGGTTTGAAGCTGGTGTTGAAAGTGGCGGTGAGTTGCTTCAGTACCTCATGAAGATGGTACATGCTGCAACCACTGTGCACCAGTGATTGAGGAAGTTATTGTATAAAGCAGTGGACGTTTGTTGCCATTTTGTTCTTGTGTGTTGTTGGAATCATGCTCATCTAGTCAAGTATTCAGTCACATTCCTGATGTGCTTTGGAGAGTTAGTAGATGAGTTACTCACCACAGAAATTCCAGTCTCTGACCAGAGGTTTGGCCAGAGCATTTGTATAGTTGGTCATGTTATATTTCCATTGAATGGTGACCCCCAACTACGTATCTGCAATCATGTTGCCACCAAAGGAAAATGGCTAGACTTTCCCTTATTAGCAATGGTCATGGCTTGGCATAAGTCGGATGAATTTTGCATGCTGCTTATCAGCCCAAGCCTGAATGTTACCCTCTGGTGTCTATAGGGAGCCTGAAAAATCTCAGCTTCCATCAGCAGACCCTGATAGGCCCTTAAACAGATCCATTGATGACAGCAACTTGCAGATACGTAGTTCAAGTCCTGCCTTTGGAAAATGGGCTGGAGGTGGGATGGAGCTAGAGAGCTGGCATGTCAGCTGGTGCTGTGAAGTTCCTCTATTCTAACACTTGGCAGAGATTAAAGATTAAAAGAGAGAATGTGTGTATAGTTGGGAGAAACAAGCATGCCAGATTGTGGACGTAGAATGTACCACTAATGACTGAATACTGCTTATGTTGAATATGGTTGCAACAGTTCAAATTATTACAGATGTGTTCAGTGACCAATGCAGCCCATGCAACTGAGACAAACAATTGCACGGTTATTGATGTTGCAAAGTTCAATATTTATTTAATATCCTTCCATGGCATGTAGACATTGCTGGCAAAGCCAATAGTTGCCCATCCCTATTGCCTTAAGATGGTGATGAGGCACCTTCTTGAAACACTACAATACATTCAATGTGGGTACATCCACAATCCTGTTAGGAAGGAAGTTCCAGGAACTTGATTCAATGACAGTGAAGGATATAAAGCTCCATGTCATCATGTGGCAGGAGCCTGGCGTAGAGGAAAGTTGCTGGTGATTGTCTTCCCAGATTTCTGCTGCCTTTGCCCTTTTAGATTAGTGTTTAAGAGTTTAGTAGATACTATCAAAGCAGCTTTGATGATTTACTGCTAAAGTGCATTTCACATATAGTACACACTTCTACCATAAAGCATAGGTCATACAAGGAATGAATGTTTAAATTGGTGGATGAGGTACCAATCGAGCATACTGTTTTTGCCCTGGATGATGTCCAGTTTAAGTGTTTTTGTCGCTGCACTTATCCAGGCAAGTGGAGCGTATTCCATTACAGACTGTGCGGGGCTTTGGGTAGTCAGGAGGATTTGTTACTCACCTGGGGATTTCTAGCCTCTGACCTGTTCTTGTACTATTCTGAATTTCACCTACATTTTGTGGACATGCCTGGGCAAATGTTCACATTGTCTTGTCGATGCCAGTGTTGTAGCTGCACTGGAATAGCTTGGCTAGGGACGTAGCAAGCTCTGGAGCTCACATTTTCAGAGCATTGCCTTTGCAGTGTCCAGTTCTTTCAGCCATTTCTTGCCATCACTCAGAGTGAAGATTGGTATCTATGATGTTTAGGTCCTCAGGAGGAGGCTGTGATGGATGATTTACTTGGTGTTTCCATCCGCTGCTCCCGATGTGGCCTCCGCTACATCGGTGAGACCAAGCGGAGGCTCGGAGACTGCTTTGTAGAGCACCTGTGCTCAGTTCACAACAAACGACAACACCTTCCAGTCACGAACCACTTCAACACCCCTCCCACTCCCGGACAACATGACCATCCTGGGCCTCCTCCAGTGTCACAACAATGCCACCCGGAAACTGGAGGAGCAGCATCTCATATTCCGCCTTGGGAGCATACAGCCCAATAGTCTCAATGTGGTCTTTACTAGCTTCAAAATCTCCCCACCCCTGACCTCATCCCATGACCAACCCTGCCTCTCATCCCTGCCTCCTTGACCTGTCCGTCTTCTTTCCCACCTATCCGTTCCTCCCACCTCACTGACCAACCCCCACCATTGTCTACCTGCACTCACTATCACCACCCCACCTACCTTCGCCAGCCCCACCCCTCCTCTCTCTATCTATTTCAGAGCCCCCTACCACTCCCCCATTTCTGAAGAAGGGTCCCGACCCGAAACGTCAGCTTTCCTGTTCCTCTGATGCTGTCTGGCCTGCTGTGTTCCTCCAGCTCCACAGTGTGTTATCTCAAGACTCCAGCATCGGCAGTTCTTACTATCTATGATAACTGGTTCAGCCTTACCTTTGATGTAGGGATAGAAGTGGGTGTGAATTGTGCCTGTTTCCTGTGTGTAAACAAGGTGTACAAATATAATCTAAATCCTGAGAGGTCTAGACAGAAACTTCCCATTGGCAGAAGAGACCCAACCAGATGACACTTTATGTTATCATGTTGCCCCTGCTAAATTTGTGGCCCTATTTATGGGTGACC